ATAATGATTTTTCAGTCCCACTGGTCTGCCTCTCCTATTTACCCATAAGCTTAATTTAAGGTTGAATTCCTACCATTCCTTTGATTATTTCTCATGCTTGATCCACTATGCAAATAAATTATCATAGCAAGTTTTCAGGGGACTTATTTTCAGTAAAGAAAGGGGAATTGGCTATGAATTAATTACTAAGTACTAACCTACAGCCAAAAATTGGTAAAGGACTCTTGTATTCGTGACTGTTTATCTAGAATATGAAATCAGATCAATAAATACATGCAGTTACAGGAAACCAAGAATTTACTAATAAATAGTGCCATTTCTTGTTCATCTGCCATGTCAATTGGTGCTAGAAATAGGCAATTTTTTATCAAGAGGAAAAAATGGCAATTTGCTCCTTGCAAAGAGCTAGACAGATCTATACAATGCATAATACAGATAATTCTAATGCTAGCTTTTATAAAAGACATACAAAGCTATACAACATTGAAAAGGCTAACAGAAGCCACAACTGTTCAGGCAACTCCCTGCTTTAAATATTAGAGATGTAGTTCTGCTGCGTTGAAGTTTTCATGTGCCAAGCAATCCACCTCCACCACTCACTACATTATTCAGACAGATCTACTGTACCCATCATAGCCCTCACTCTCCACAGCTGGACAGATCAATCCACAGATTTGATCAGTAATTGACATTCTTCCTGCATTTCCTACTGAAACAATATACTAAAGAGTCAGGTCACATTTGGTGACTGCAAGACTCCAGCAACACTTTCAAAAGTTATTTTATTAATTTCTTAAAATTGTATCTTAAAATTCAAGAATGTCAACAGAGTTTACATTCCATTTCACCTATTGGAAAATAACTGGTTATTACTTGCAAATTATTGTTAAAGCTCCTGCTGACATTAATAGTGTAGGATAAGAATGACAACACATTATAACAACTTTGAATTACTGATTAATAAATATCAAAAAGCCTAATTCTAGTCACTTAGAAAACTTCCTTTCTTGTGCACTTGAATAAAACATCAAACATTTAAATCTATACACTCATTTCCTCTTTAGGATGGTAGATATGGATGCAGGCTTGGCTTATTGAGGACATACATGAGTGAGTATTAATAAATCTGAGTCCTGTACCTTGATTAAAAGAGTCAACCAATTTCCTCACTCCTGCATCCCACCTGGAAACACAGGTGTAAACATTTGTTGGGGAAAGTCGGACCAAATTATTTGAAAAATCTTATCAATGATAAAACGGATGAGACGAAGTTCAATAGCAGATTAGATGCAATTACTTGCAACTTTTTTTCCAAGCTATTATCATCATAATGAAAGCAAAACTTATAGGCAGCAAAGGTTTTGTTTCTTTTTTTAGGAATTTGGAACAGCTCCAAGAAAAGGCAGCACAAAATGCTGCCTGACTGGTAATCTCTGCACAATTACACGCAAACTTGCAGTGTAAAAACATTCATGTCAGAGGCTGGATTCCTTTGTTTCAGATCACCAGGACACCTGCTACTCAATAACTGTCAAAAGAGTTTTGAAATGCTATCATTTATGTGCCCCACATCAATATATGATATCAGCTTTAAATATCAGCAACTCATACCCTATGGGGAAATTAGTCTTGAAAAAAAGGCCTGTAAACTATCTTTGAAAATAAAGTTTAATTAAAAGTGTATTGACCAGAAAAAAAATGGTAACACAAAACAAAACACAAAAAAGAACATCCACCAAGCTCATGTTTGAATATGTACATATCTCTTGTCTCAAGCAATGCTTAGAAAGCAACAGCAAAGACTCAATAATAACATAATCAATTCTTGGATCACTATTGAGCATATAAATGAGCCCTCAAAGACATGAAAGGCACAGAAACATGAGGAAGGCACAGAAAGGCACAGGTCATAATTCAAGCTTGATTGCAAGTGTAATTCCTCAGCTGCCATTATGCTCATACCACAGGCTGGGTTTATATCATAGAAATGTATTGTAGTGCTGTTTCCTTGACTCTTTGAAAAGAAAGCTATGTAGAACTTTTTGAACAGTGCTGCCACAGTGATTTTCGTTTACAACCAAATAAAAAAGAGTTGCATCCTAAATGCTCATCTTTACTATTTCCTCCCATCCTTTTTTTCGGGGGGGGGAGCATCCCTGTATATTTTCTAAGATTCTTGAGTCAAGGTAGGACAAGGACAAATCCCATAATTCCCCATAGCTCTAGAAGTACTGTGCAGTAAGATAGTCACACTTGATTAGCAGAGCAAAACAAATCAAGGCAGGAAATTCAAACATCTTCTGATCTTAACTTTTGGGGAAAAAAGAAGAAAGGAAAAATAGGTTAACTCACCAGCTTCAAAAATGAATTAAATTATTCTTGTAAAACTAACAGCAACTGAGGAATAGGGGGAAAAAAAATAGTTGGGATTGAATTCTATACACTAATAAATTTGGAAGTTCATCTATGAATACCTTTTGGCAGCAATGAGTAAGATTCTTTGTGGGATAAATTTTGAGACTATTATGTTGGCCTTTCTCTTATCAAGTTTAGGAGATGTCTGTCACCTCTGATTACTACAAATCATAATTACTTGGCTGGTTTGTCTAAGAAAGAAGATTTTAAACCCCAGAAATCTGGTCAGCATACAGGGAAGCTTTGTATAGCCATCTGAGGGCAGAACAGCAACTCTGTTTTGCAGAAAAATACAAGTGTGTCAGCACTAAAAAAGCAGGCAACAGAAGATAATTGCATGAGCAAAGGGAACACACAATATCCTTAAAGAAAAAAATGGCACAAACTTGGTTTTAAAATACTGTCTGACAGCTCCAGAAAGAGATTCACAGGCTGGAAATCAATTGAGCACAAGCCTTACAAAAATTTCACTAAAGAAAGTGATGGGAGAAATGAGCATAGTAACAACAGAGTTTTGCAATTCAAGAATATATATGAAAAAAACATAAACAGAAGAAACGCTATCAATGAACTACCTCTATAACAAAATATTACTATGAAGCTATAAAATATGAGATGGCAGATAAACAGAGCTATGAAACAGCTCTTTGCTGTGCTGAGAAGCCAAAATGAAAAGCCAAGGAGCCTGCAACAATAGGATAAGGGAATAGTACAGTCTATCTAAAAAGCAAAAAGATAAGGAGTTCACCAAGGATACAAAGTAAACAAGGAAAATTTGAATTTCTGAGATGACTAGCCAAAAACACGTGCAAAGTGACCATAAGACAGAACATGCTAATCCCATACCTTCAAAGCTAATAAATAAGTAAATTAATAGATCAAACCACCAAAATCAACACATGCCCAGTTTTACTTTCTATGAAGCTGACTACTGACAAGATAAAGACAGGTGTGACTGATCAGTAAACCCCTACTATGGGAGCAGGATAAGAGATGGGCCAGGGTGATGTGCCCATGAAGCTCAGGGAAGGATATGGGCTGGGACTGATCACAGCTGTTGCAAAAAAGCTGGCTTGATCTCAACACCAAAAGGACCTTAGGGTGAGTTTTGCTTTAGATAAACCATAAACAGCGGAGAGAATCAATTGGTGCTGTATTTCTCCCTGCGTTCAGTAAGAGTGTGAATGTCTTCCTGAGTTAGCCAAGCCAGTGCGGAGTACTTGTATACAAAGCTTAGCCTCACTGGTATTATGATTGACCTGTGCCCTGCAATTGCTCTCCTCTGTTATGTGTGACTTGTGTCTGTATTGTTTTCAGTATGCTTTGCATCCACGCTGCTAAAACAGAAATCCCATGTACCATCAACTACCTTCAAATAAATAAATAAATCTGACGTTAAACATTATACCAGGCAACAAGTCAATAACATGACCTTGACATACCCCTGACATAACATGAGAAGCTGGAATAGCACAACTCTCCAGATGTATGAAGCACATCCGACAATAAAAAATATTGTCAAATTAATTTAAAACACTTCAAAGAAAAACTGTTGGGAAGACTAATGGAAGATTTCCAGTTTAAAAAGTGTTTTAAAACATATAGGCTCATATAGCCCAAAGAAAAGGCTGAAGAGACATAGCTCCAACTAAACACCATCAGAGGTTGATGCTGTTTTTGTGAAGAATGGACACAGGTCAGTTCCACGGTCACCAGCCAGCAGTCACTTATAGCCAGCATGCACCTGCTGTAAGGAACTGGGGAATGGACAGCATCCTCAGCTTTTTCCACAAAACACCACACTTTGACATCTTTGACCCCAGAATGTGTGTCCTTTAGTGTCTTACATTTTTTACAGGGTGAAAGGAAGCATTCTGCAGGTGTTAACATTTGTGACCTAATGCTGACTGGTCATAGTGCTATCAAGGACTGGGCTCAATGACACAAGATAATCCCTTCCCATCCTGCTTTCCTATCAATGGAATAGCACTTTTTTTTTTTTTTTTTTTGTTGGTTTGAGTTTTTTGGGAGGGGTGTGGTTTGCTTTTGTTGTTGGCTTCTTTTGGTTTGGTTGGTTCTGCTTTTTGATTTTGTTGGTTTTCAACCAGATGGAGAAGTATTTTTGTATTCTCTAAATCATAGGGCTCTTCCAGCATTCAGATCTCTCACTAAGTGGAACAATTTTTAAAGCATCCAAGAAACATTAGTTCCTACCCTGTATTATGACTGGAACCAAGATTAAGTCTTCCCTCATTTTTCAGTTTTACCTACATACCTGCCTGAGTTTTACAGAGAACAAAGAACTCCGTGGATCTTCAGTTACCAGCCCTTACCCTTCCAAGGGAGTCTGTTCTCTTGTGCAATTTACATTTTTAGAAGAGAATGCTCTGCACACATTCTAGTTTACATTCTGATTACAAGTCTGCAACCATTACAACAGCACTCTAGTATATGATGAAATTATGCAAAGACAGATTCACAAAGCCCTGTAGGGGCAACCCTAATGCCAGTGAAATCAGTAACAAACACCTCACAGTTACCTTTTGTTAAATTACACCCACAGGACATTAAAAAGTCATACCTACCTAAACTGTTATTGCTGCCAGTTGGCCAGGAAGCTACTCTATCCCTTAACTTTTTCTTTTTACAAGAATCATCCGATTTCACAGAAAGATCCACTTCCTCCTTCTTGATTTCCTGTACCAGTTCCATGTGGCACTGACTAAAATCCTGGAAGGAAATTTTTCCATTTTCATCTGCTCCCAGCTGGTGCATGATCTCTGCAACAGACGCCTCCATATTCAGCTGGCGGCACACCATCAGCAAGTCATTCCTAAAGATATTTTTAGAGGGAAAATGGGGGTGGGGGAAGATTGGAAAAGTGGAAATAGAGAAAACAAAAAAACAACAACTTAGTTTCAAAGAAAAGGAATACTAGCCCTTGTCTAATCTGGATACACATTAATGCACAGGCATTTAAAACCTATAGACCAACTACTGAAGGAAACAAAATCTTGAAACAATTTCTCCAGCATGTGCATGATGCGTATTTATCAAATGACAAATAAACACATTCTAAATAAAATGTGGGCAAACCAATTCAACCAGATCTGAAGAAACAGCTGCTCTACGCTACCAAATCTTCTGGGTGTCCCATTCTCTCTGATTAGAAAATTTTTTTAAAAAAAAATACCACTACTTTGCTACTCTCACATTTCACTGCTTCTTTCCTGCCATCCTTTTCTTTTGAACTGGATTGCACAGCACTACCATACCAATTTATACCACAAATAGCATGAGTGTGTTTCTATGTTATGGCTTTTTTTAAACAGCTTAAAAGCATATAGCTTATTTGTGTGTAAAACAAAATCTTTCAGTAGAAGGGAGGCAAAGGAAATGTGTAATATTACTATTATGTGAATTATTAGTAGATTTAATAGTATTATTATTATTTCATTACTAGTATCAGGGTATCATTCAGAAGGTTTCTGTGAAAACATGATACATTGAAATACCCAAAGTTCTCACATGAAGAGCTTCAATGAAGTAATTTATTATCAGAATCAAGGCCCATTCTATTCTAGAGAAAGAATTGAACATCAGGTGGAGCTCTGTAAGTCTCTTCTATGCAGAAATTCCAGAGCTGCAGAAACAGAATTCTTGTCCTAAAATTGGATAATAATGATCATAGTAACAAAAGTAATAGTAATGATGATGAGAATGATGATAATAATGACAATAATAATGATGATGATGATAATAATAGTGATAACAACATAACCATGAAGTTTAAAAACAAACAAAACCCCAACAACAAAAATATCAGAAAGCAACCAAATCTCTGCTTATGACAAGAAATAACTTTATTATAGAAGAATTAATCACACAGGCCAAACATAAGCTATTGTTACTTGCAGTTCAGTTTTTGCTCAGAGTTTTGCTCTTAGATTTGAATCTGAACAATTAATAAATAATTTCCATGGCTCAGTTCCTTGTTTTTAAAAATTAAAACAACACAAATACAATTTCACAAGGATGTTCCAAAGAAAAATCAGGATGAGAGCACATTCAAATTTTTACCTGAGGAGTGACAAATACAATTCAGCTATGTCTATTCTCTTGGAACAGATCAGACATAGCCTCAGATTGAGGGACTCTGCAGAGGTGTGCTAATTTTGAAATGAGTACCAGGAGAAGCAGTGCAGGGTGATTTTGCCATGGAATTCCAGAACACAGGTCAGTTGCCCTGGCTCCAGAAGAATTAATCTGCTATACTGGGGCAGGAGGAGGCTGTGGCACTAGTAGCACACCTTACACGGCCCTGCTCATGACAATTGTAAAACTTCTATTTCACTACAGCCCACAGGGACATGTCCAAACCCAGTTCTGGTTCCCTACAATCTAAAGGTGTTACACAAATGCAAACTGATTTATAAAGGAAATCTCTCAAAGATTGTTCCACTACATAACACCAAGGAGAAAACATGTATTTTCTTAAAACTATTTAAAACTTCAGCTAGTAAAAAGGTATCATCATTTTGCCTGGAAACATTTAATCCTTGCTAACACAACTTGCAGGCTAGGTGCAGAAACACCTTTGAAGAGGGAAGTCAAAATTATAAATGCAGCCAAGCTCCCTAGAGGCAAATAGAGTAAATAAACAAACAGTGTAGGAAAACCTGTTCCATGCAGTGGTGTCATGAGTCACTTCTAGACCAATACTGTAGTTAAACAGTAATCTATCTGAAGCATTAATTTTGAAATGACTAATCTAAAAAGGACTGACCACTAGAACACTCAGAGGCAATAAGAAGTTGCTGATCTAAAAGATGTACTAAAGTTACTCCAGATCACTTCTGTTCTTGGTAGGAGGCTGTTTAGTTTAGGTCCCTGGTGCAGCCACCAATCTCCAGAGCATCCTGGACCCACTGCTCCATTTGCTCTGACTCTCACAGCAAGTCAAGGCCCTCACTACTTAAACCACAGAATCACATCAGCTCTGCAGCTTTGACTTTTCTATGAGCAACTGCAGGCAAACAATCCTGGCAGCAATCTCAGAACTGCTCGTCTGCAGTCAGAAAAGCTCACAGAATGACACCTTTTGTTTGGAATAAAATTCTAACAGAGTTCTAGATGGGTAAAGAAATTATAAGGTAAGAGGTTCCAAGCATCACGAGGCATGCTGCATCAAAATGCTTATTTCTTAATCTGGATGAACAGAAGTAATGCACAATAAATCCAAAGTCATCTGAAATGCCAAGAAAGCAGAAACCACAGTGAGTGTGCCTCACAGAAGCCCTCTACGACACTATAATCTCTGGCAAAAAAAACCATCTCAAGGTTAGCACCCAGCTACAGAGAGCACTTTGAAAGGTTATCAGACTAAAAGACAGTGTTCACTGCTGTCTGAAAAACATGCATAAAACCAACGTCCTTACCTACAGGGGGAGCTGGATGGAGAATTTATGTCGTTTTGCGGTCCACCCAAGGCAAGATACATGTCTTGACTTTACAGAAGGGAAGAAAACTGTTAAAAAAATTCACTAGCAGATGGAAATAGGTAGTAGGTAGACTAGGAAAGAGGACAAACAGTCCTTTCCCCCACAGCAGTTCTTACTTAATATGTTTTCTTGAAGAAATAATTTCCAGAACCAGCAACAACCACAAAACAGAAATTTCTGTTGTCTAATGAATTTAGCCTTGGAAGCGGATTTCATTACCTTTGTCATTATCTAAACAATTACATCTCCACAGACCTTTTCACACAGAAATACCTTAAGAGGTTATTTTTTGCTCTCCAATTTCCTGAATTATTACCAATTTTGATGGTTTAAAAATACAGAAGCTATTACTTTATCAGGCATGGATCATCCTGATAAGACTAAGTCAGCATTTCCATATTATCTTAAAAGATAATTTCTATATTATCTTTTAAAGGAAGTGGTAGGGCAAGACTGAAGTTACAGCTTATGAATGAATAATGAGGACAGCTTCAGAATTGCTGGAATTTTCACCTGCTGCAACCTGGATGTCCTTACAAAAGGGCAAAGAATGAAGAAACACAAGTTTCCTGCAACAATACATCTACCTGAAAGTTTTTCTTAGGAAAAAAGGCCTGAAGTTCCCATCTCAGCTTAATAAATTGCATCATGACCATGACTGATATTCATACATGAAACAATTGATAAATTGATGTGTAAACAATTTTTATGTGTATATTTGGAATACTGTCTGCATTGATAAACAAAATGCATTTTGTTTCAGGAGTATTTTCTTTGGGATTACCTCCTAGTGCCAGACTATGTTGTAGTACTAATCAACCCTTTTTAAAATGAAAGTATAAGATACACAGTAACACCCATGTTGTTCACTTTTAATGTAAAACTCCATTTCCTTATGGCTGTCCCAATGCTCCCTATTTTCTGTGTATCAAAAGCATTGTCAGCACCGGGCAATAGTTGTAAATGAGCCATTTCAGTGAAGCTGATGTGTTTGGCAAGGCATGAATAATGTGAGGCAGGATGGGATGGAGAAGAGGCACATCAGCCGGACACGCTTGTTAAAATGCTGAGCAGCAATACCGTTGATACTGGGATTTGAAAACTCACACTGAAGCTTCAGTTTTAACATCTCATTGTGATCAGGAAGGGAATTCATGCAGATGGATTTTTTCATGCTGCATGAAAACTTAGGAAGACATAAGAGCATTGACTGACATTTGATAGTTTTATGGGACTTTTTTTCTATATTTGTGCCCATTTATGAAGGAATTAAAGCAAAGTGTAAACATAAAGTTGAAAGAAATGGGGGAAAAGGTCACTAGACCAGACTGCAGTCCCACAAGGGGATATTTACTCTGCAGCCACTGAGTTCTGTATAATAGAAGTCTATATGGCACTAAATGGGATCTTGCACATTTGCCCGATTATAAGCACAAGAGACAAATTATGTAACTCAGCAGACAAACTATTAAACAGAGGAAAACAGGCAAGTAAGACCTACCAGTGCAGAAAACATACCAGACTCAAAAAAGTATCATCACTCATGGAGAGGTGTCTAAGCTGCTTTTTAAGAATGCCATAACCTCCACGTGTGCTCTGTCCTAGCACTTCACTGCTCTCTTCTGCAAGTTTCCTTATTTCAATCTTCCCAGATACAATTCGGATTGTTGCTTCAAAAAGGAAGTTAACACACTGTTTTCTGGCATTACAGTGTGTTGCAGTATGAAGCAATATCCTGTTTTAGCTATCCCAGTTTCCCAGGTGTGCCAACCTCTCCCTTCCCCTCCCCCTTGCCCCCTTGCTAAGTGCTGTCTCTGTCAATCTTAACATTCCAGCATGGACATCATCTGGTTGGTCAAGTTCAAAAGATGCTTCTCAGCCCTGGCGTCATTGGCCAGTCTAGGTGTCATTGTCCCCTGAGACTCCCACCCTTTCCACCTGGTTGGTGGCACACCTGCCCCTTCCCCTCCCCCTTTCCCCGGGCTTAAAAAGACACGGGACCACGTGGTCTGGGTTCTGTTGGAGCCATCACAACATTCAGAGGCCTGTGTGCCCAGGAATAAAACTTTGGATTAACTCTCCGGCAGAATCTGTCTCCTTTTCCTCTTCACCTCGCCTAAAGCCTTTCCATTAGAGGTAAAAACTGAATTCCTGCTTGCCTGGACTTGTTCCAAGTGCCAGCTGCAACATACAGCCAGCCAGGGGCGTCTCTGAGGTGAAACACCACAGCTGCCACCTCTGGTCAGGCAGCAAGGGCCAGAAGAGCCCAGGCACGTTCCATCCGGTAATATTGGGATTATATTCCAATAACAGTGGGTAAGAAAAAGAGTCT